TTGCCTTTGTAAGATACGGATTAGGTCCAAATAGAGAACAAGTTGTTGATGCATGCTTGGCAGTAGCCGTAGTTGTTTACCATGAAGTTCTCACCCGCGGTGTCGTCCTCTCGTCGTAAGAGCCGTAAGGCCCACTTCACCGCCCCCTCTGACCAGAGGAGGATCATCATGTCCGCGCCCCTCTCCAAGGAGTTGAGGGCCAAGTACAACGTGAGGTAATTATCACCATCACCATCATCCCATACCACACTTCTCTCAACAGGTCCGTCCCCATCCGTAAAGACGATGAAGTCATGGTCGTCCGTGGTCACTACAGCGATCGCGAGGGCAAGGTCACCGCCTGCTACCGTAAGAAGTTCGTCATTCACATCGAGCGTCTCACTCGTGACAAGGTACTTGCTACCCTTTCCTCGAACCTTGTAGTGAATGTTTATGCTTAGGTGAACGGCTCTCACGCCAACGTCGGTGTCCATCCCTCCAAGGTGGTCATCACCAAGCTGAAGATGGACAAGGACCGCAAGGCTCTCCTTGAGCGCAAGAACCGCTCTAAGGACTCTGGAAAGAAGAGATACACTGACAAGGACGTCGCGATGGCTCAGGTTGATTAATATGCTGCTACTATTGATAACAACTAATGTGGTGAAAGCAACGGCTCGACTACCGTCACAGGCTACTGGTCCTAGCATACCATCAGAGTTGTGTTCAGTAGAGGTGTGAAAACAGGGACCCATCTAGCTTTGAGAGATAACAATGGAGAAATGTAATGTGATGATGACATTTACATGAGAAACTGATTGAAGAATGTGTTCCTAGCCATACGTGGAAAATTAAAAATGAGTTCCCCCCGTTAACGTTATAGGTTCCTGGATGATTTCCTGTGTGGATCACTTCTATCGGGGCGGCTTTGTGCTTGCCTTGAGCAATTGTGGAGGAGGCTGTGGTTTGTTAGCATCAATCGGAGTTCGTTGAGTTTGTCAATTTCCTCTTCATAGTGACGGTTCTCGTTGGTCTGCATGTCTGTTGAGTGCACATCATCATCACCAACCGTTCCTGTGAACCCAGGCTTGTCCATAGCGAGAGTCTTCAAGGGTCATAAAGGAGCCGTCACGCGTGCTGTACCGGTGCCGGGGGTTTCGGGTACGCTCGCCTATATATTATATAGCATATAAGTCTGGATGGTTATCTTGGCAGGTTATTCCCAATATGCTTCCTCGGGTGGTGATGGCAGTGTTATCATATGGAGTACTAAACACAACACCAGGTGGATAACTCCTAGGAGAGCTATTGCTGAAGTTTTCTATTTTTGTTACTGTGAGTGTATTTGTGGTTGTAGGCCTCTTCGTTGTGAAGGACACGGTGATAGGGTGACGGCAGTGGCGGCGGATGCATCGGGACGATGGGTTGCCAGTGCTGGAGTTGATAAAACAGTAATGAGAAAGAAATAGGTTGAGATATGTACTGAAACCGAGAATCGAACTCGGGACCTATCGCGTGTGAGGCGATCGTCATAACCAACTAGACCATTCCAGCG